CTCCCTTCACCCTTTCTTCCAACCCGTAACATTCCCTCAGACTTGTTCGCCATTCGCCCAAGTTCGTCGCCAAGTAGCCCGTTAAGTAGTTTACCACAAAATAGATTGTAGCCTCATCAACCACTGAATCTGGGGGCCTTTAACGGGAAGCTTCAGATGAAGGCAGGTCAATAAGCGTGTCTGGCGCGTACAATGGACTCTTTGGGGGATTGATGTCTGCTGCGTGTCGGAGACTCGAATCCAAGATCCTAGTACTATATACCACTTAAGTGCACCGAGGTTGTCTTTGAGGTTCTTCCTCCGTACGTCAGCTGATGACGAAGCCCACTCAGTAGGCCAGCGTGGTGTGGGCATTGCAATAAAGAATACAGCCGAAACCGCACTACTCGACTGGATCCCGGTCAACAATCTCTTACGTGCGATGCGGCCCCAAGGGTCTCTCAGCGTCCAGAAGGGAAGCAACACCAAACGGTGTTTATTCATCATTTCAGCGTATGCACCGACCAACTGCCTTTCTGACGCACAAAAGGACGAGTTTTATGATAAACTCACCGAAGTCATTCGGTTGAGCCAAAGCTCCGGTATAGTTGTTCCCTCAGGTGATTTTAACGCTCAAGTTGGAAAACTGAGCGCATCGGAAGCTTGCNGAAGCTTGCCTAGGCGGTCATTGTGCTTTGCTCTGCCAACGAACAGATAATGGCGATCGACTTCTTCGGTTCTGTGCAAATCATCTGTTCCTATCCAGCACGAAATTCCGACACAGCTCTTAACGGTTCAGTTTATTTCAGTTTTTACAACGATTAACCAGGCATTTTTGTGCGCCAGTTTTGGTTGCTGTCTTTTGGTGCCCCATTTGGATAAAAGAGCAGAAAGACTGGAATGTTGAAAGCAAATTCAAGCGGATGATGGAGAATTCATTCTTAACGGACAGCAACGTGGCGCTCAAATTCAACTGGCACGCTGACTCAGATCGACCACATAGCATTAAGCTACCGTTGGCGCTGAATCTGATCATGTGTTAGTTTTGATGCAGTTCACTCTCCAACTCACCGGTCGCAAAAAACCTCACCAAACTCGGTTGGCAGATCATTATTTATCTGACCCAGCCGTTTGTGTCCCCTTTCTGAATAGGAACTAGGGAAAGAGCTAAACGCGCTGTGGGGTGGTATTGCAGATGAACAGTGGGATCAGATTAGACTAGCAACGCACTCTGCAGCAAGAGTCGCTTGTGAACTGAAGCGGTAGCTCGCCCGAGGCATTGGATATCTGATCAGTCTGTAGCACTGATGGAGAAAAAGCGGCAAATCCCGTCCGCCCGGGATCAAGGCAAGGGTAGGTGGCACCTGCAATGTCAACACAAGAAGAGCCTCAAGAAAGACCGTGAGAACTGGTGGGCAACGATAGCTAGTGAAATGGAAGTTGCAGCTGCATCAAGGGAGATAACCACCAGCATTTCCAAGGCTCAAGCAGCGTACACAGGACTAAAACACCTGTGACAACGACGTGACGTATCACTGGAGCTGGAAAGTCGCGTATGCTGCGCCACTGTACGATCGGTTCTGCTTACGGTCGAGACCTTGAATTTGCGGGTAGAAGACATCCGTCGCCTAGTGGTTTTCGACAACCGATGCTTAGGTAGTCTGGCCCATGTGGGATGGAGTCAACGGGTTAGCAACTAAGAAGTAGTTCGTCTGGTGTTTGGGAATGCATCAAACACGAACTCGGGCGGTGGTGGCCAAGTGGTTGTCACCAACTTGTGACCTAAGTCCCGGTTTCGAACCGCTCCATCGCCGCCCGCCTTCCCAGCCTTTGTATGGCCGCTCCCCTTTCCTGATTGTTAACTGTATCTTCAATAAATAAAAGAGGAAGTAAAAAGACATTTTATTTTTTTAAACTCGCTATCACATCGAATTCAGCTCAATAGGCTCCGTTGGTTAGGACATGTTTATCTAACGGTCGCCTACCGCATTGCGCCTTGTTTACATTGGCCAGATGACGTGGCATGAAGAAATGCACATGCCTTGATCGGTCATCCATGCCTTTTTCATTCCATTACATGTATCAGCAAACATCGTGACAGGCGCAACACATGCCCCAACGAACGCAAACTATGGCAGTCGATTGCTTACCCCAGTGGGCGCACTGTACTAATAATATGAGACTATCTCCTGAGAGAGGATGAGTCGGCTACATGAAAGTAACATCCACTACCGGTCTTGGTACAAGAGGTCCCCAACGCCACCCGAAGCAGCGTAATTTTCGATAGCTTCGACATGGTAAGAAGCTTTCTTAAGGAGTTCCATTTGGAGGCTTTGGTTATTCAAAACCAACTGATTACAAAACAGCAATGCGTTTCCCTTTATTGACCTCACTTCGGGTGAAAGGGACTCACAGATTTTATTTCTGAAAATTCAATCAAATCTGCCTTTGCCAGGAAACCATCATTGGGGGTTTTGCGGAGAGACAGGTAGTATGCCATCTACCCACCTACGCAATGGTAGTGTCCCCGCTCTTTGTTCACGACCGCTTATTTGCAGTGAGCCATTTTACTAGCAGCCAATACTTGGTGAGAGTATCCGCCTAGCCACAAGCCGGGGGCACACATGACAACGTACAGCTACGAGTATCTCCTGAGTACCTGAGAGCCCCAGTGGGCGACCGCGACTACATAAAATACAACGCCTAACTTCAGCATTGCTTATCCGATTTCCCCACCAGTCTCGTGCGGTGCCGCGTAGACAGCGGTATTTGAACACCAAAAGCCTATTTTCATTTTGCTCCGTTAACGGCTAGGTTTCTGCGCCATACGGCACCACCGGCCGAACCGCTGCAACACATGTTCGACTAGTCAGATAGCCGGATGTCGTGAGGATGACAGAGATGTCTAAAATTGGTAAACACCAACCAGTAGTTCTGTATCCGTATCAACACTTCATTCACGATGCGTCTTACAGATGAGATATAACCGTCCAAATAGAAAAACAGCACTTACTTCCCCAGTTATAATGAGGTTGACAGTTGCATTGACCCAGTTCTGTAGCAATACTTTACACTTTGAAGATGCAAAACGAACGCCAAACATGGCAATACTAGCACTCAAACTATCCGGAGAAGCTCGTATGGACCTTCACTTATGGTTTCAATGCCGTCTGAATACACTAGACCGGACAGTCCGTCACCTAACAAATCGATTCCGTGAGGGTTGTTTCAAGAATCAAATATATCACAAAGGCAAGACAGGAGGCAACCCGGACGAACACCCCCTTCCGTGAACTTCAAAAAGGAGCCGTGAGCTGGAACTTGGATTCGGCTATTAGTATAAAGATAGTGTATCCTTGAAATAAACTTGACACAATTTATAGAGGTAGTACCAGAATGGTCGACTGAGTTGAATGCGCTTCCATAGCGAGGGAGATAGAAATGATGGGTCTATATTATATTATTATTTCACAATTGTCTGAGGACAGACTGTGTGCCAAGAAAATCATGGTACAAAAATCTTTTAAAAAACATTCCATGGTGGGTCTAAGCAAGGAATGTCTGATCCAGAACTTCGTGAAGAGCGTGAAGAGCGCAAATATGGTCGATATAATCTCAACCAGGTCTAAAACCGGTTTTATTCTCCCGTGTGCACTATTTGCGTGCGGTAGACAATCCAGAGTAAATTGCCAGTGGTTTAGAGATAGTGATCAAACTAACTCCCTTGTAGTTTTCACCGGGAATTCTGCCGCCTTTAGTATAGATCGGTAAAATGAACAACTCACATCATTCATTTGGAAGCTGTTTACTCTCCCATACCGAACCTCGAAGTTTCGTAAACTGCAAAACTAAGGCAATGGGGATAGCTCATTCAGATAAAAGGCTTCCTACCTTCAGAGAGTACACTTCGAGGTAATCTCCATTTTAAGGAGACCGATATCTAAGCTCCAGAGAGGTAAGCTAGACTGATGCACATCTGAAGATGCATATCCCATCATAGTTGGGAGGGTGGGGATTCTGAGCTAGAATGTATTTATTGCTGGGTTACGACTAGCATATGGAGCTCTAATGCTGGAATGTCGACGACAGTATTCAATCTTCAGTGTTTGCATACCATGGGAATCGATAATATTGCGAATTTATTAAGCTTAGGGAAAGGATAACAGGTGTGAATCATCACAAACCTGTTGGATGAGTTGCTGATTACTCCTAATATGGAGGACAGTTAACTCAAGTTAGTTAAGTGCATTTTGGTGCCATGAGAGCTTCGTTGCTATTGTATGATCTCCCATCCGTATAATGAATGTTTGCGCAGATGAGTTCGAATGAACGCAATAGCTACATTGAAGTAAGATGTTTTAGCGCAACCCAGACAATAGTAAATCTTGTCATTTAATTAACCAAGCTATTTGTAGTCAATAATAACGTGAAGAAACAGATGACGCGAAAATGAAGTGAAAAACGGCAGGAGATATCTCATATTTTGAGATGCGGTTGGAAACATTCTGTTAGTTGGACACGGGCGAACAGCGTCCAACCGAGAACGGAGCTCGTATTTTCTCATTAGGTTGAATCGCTCCAGGGGATATGTAGTTGGATTTAGTGCGTTTTTATCTCATGGTTCAACTGTTTTTCTCAAGTCCAGGTGGACTCACTCATGAAGTACCTTACACGTTCCTAATGTTCTTGTGTCCTCAGTTCGGCAGCGATTAGCGAG